CCCTCCAGCGCCCGCTTATCGTTGAATTTTGGGACACGCTGTATATTGATGAATTGATAATTATTATGTTAAAATTAAATCGTAAAATTGCTTTTATTATAGGATTATTCTATGGATGTGAGAGAAGGTCTACACAGAATGTTGGGTTCTTGCACAGTTGCATCAAAAACTTGTTTGGAGATGTGTATTGATAAAATTTTGGAGAATTTAAAGAGGTATCCCCAGGTAATTCTTGCTCGTTAAATTTTTGTTAATTATTTGGAAAAGACTAATAATGTGTAAAATAAAAACTCTATGTATCCATGTCTAAAAAATGTGTATAGAAAAATCTGAAGTAAGTACAAAGACTACTTGGTACTTGGTGCAACGGGCTGGTGTCCGCAACTCGACGTCAAGGCGCCTATTTTGCGTGTGGAAGTACAAAGACTAAGTGAGACATCGGAAATTCGGCGTAATTACTGAAAATGCGGTTTACGTTACCTTACAACGTCATAGACATGCAACACTATATTGATTGTATAATCTGTGTTGTGTAGGATAAGCGGTCAACATTCCGGTGCGTTCAACGCATGGGAAGTTCTCATGCGACCCTAGTTCTGCCGTTGGTCACGCGACTTCTTGCTGTGCATCCCTTCTTCGACATGCCGGAGCCTGACGTCGAGGACCCAGCTTGTATCCTTTACATGTGTACTATTATAATCACACTCGACATCATAAAATATAACAAATTGTCACATTTATGTATTAAAAACAACAAAAAGCTTAAAATTACCCCTTGCAGTAGTACCTTTAAAAGTTTCATTGATTACTTAAAGGGCAACGTCACGGTTTTATGTATTCTAATACCCAACAGATGGCGTTGGTAAGACGAATTAATAGTTTATTACGATATTCGCAAAATTGGCAGCCAAAAGTTATACTTTTATTCATTGACTTACAAATAAATGGACGACGGGTCTAATACAAAAACCACGAAAAAAATGTCCCAAGTCAACCTATTTAAACGTAGTGACATGTAAAGGAATATGAAAAAGCTAAAACGTTGAATTTAAATTGTAATGTCATCGCAGTACTGTCTAATTTTGCTTGCTTCGCTGTCAGTCGAACAAACGAAGACTAAAGCGCGAATGACGCTCTGTATACGATTTTAACGCCCTATAAGTTCGGACACTTTTTAGCGCGGACCCGACGTCCATATAATTATAAGTCAATGCTTTTATTGCATACGCGATTGTAGGAACTCGTGCCACATTTAAAATTCATATAACTTTTTACATACAATCTTTCAATCAGATAAAAATATCTATTATCCGTTCGAAACTTAGTTACACACACATACAAAGGCAAGGTTGTTGTTTTTTCAATTCTTTCGGTAAAGGAAAAGGCAAAGTTTTCACACCATACAGCCAAGTCTTAGTAAATTTTTCTTTTAAAAAAAAATAGGCATTCTAATATCCTCTTTGTCCAAACCATGAATACTGAATGTCTGAAGTCCGAACCTCAGGTCATCGATTTTTTTATACGTTGCTTTTACCTATGTTAGTAGTCAGGATGTTTCTATATTATTATTTTGTAAATGTAATGTAAACAAAACATAATGAAACTTTTGTACATTATTTACAATTTGAGAGATATTATTTCTAGCAGCAATTCTGGCATTGGCCCAGTGATTAGGAATAATTTTTGTGTAGATATGATGTATGATATGTTTTTGTGAACAAAAATTATCTCAGTAACTAAAGGAGGTTACTAAACTTTTAATAGTCCTCGACTTTTCAAATAATCGCATGTTACCCAACATTTCGTTTTCGAGGTATTTTGAGTGTTCATGTCGAATATGGCACTTATTTCTAAATCCAAGGTGGCGGGCTCAACTTTTAGAATAATGGCAAGTTGGGTATCGTTTCAGAGATATTTGGGGGTGCTCATTAGGAATATAGCATTTATTTCTAAATCTAAGATGGCGGACACGACTTTTCAAATAAATGCAATATATATAGTATTTAGGTATATACAATGTGCGTGTACTTTGGTGGCATGGCTTACTGGGCTGCAATCTCTCACCATATGGTACTGGCAGAAAACCAGCACTGTTTGACTTCTCTCGGTCTACAGTATATATGCTTGAGTCAGGGCCATTTCAGTACAAACTGTAGTCATAGGTACATTAAAATTTTATTAGTTTTAGTATTTGTTTGTTTTTCTACAAGTATTTGTTTTTCTCGCAGTATGTGTTTTATATAAACGTGTATAAAATTAATAGTGAATGTTCTGTGTGCTTTTATGTTATACTCTGTGAAGTGATTGTAAATGTTTTGTTTCTGATTGTATTTGCGCTGAATAAACGTGTTATCTATCTATCTATCTAATATCCGTGATCGTACTAATATAATACCAGAAAGAAAAAAAAAAAGTTCTGTTGCTGCAAGTGTAAAACAGTGTGAGGTTTCAGATACACAGACAAATGAAGAGGAGCATTCATAACAAGTGCTGATGTATTAACACAGTTTACATTAATTGATTTGCCTATTTGCTTTACATTTTTTTAATGCTTTTGAAGTTACATAAATAGTCCTTAGCCTACTCTCAGACATGTGCGTGCTAATCCTGGTGTTGAATGCGGCGCAGCACTGCACTACCATGCTGCCTCTGTTCGAAGAGCACACCGTTAAACACTATACATACCTCCGTGATACAATGCCGCATCTCGTGCCCCATCTACCCATTGGTAATGAAGATAGATTTGCTTAATATTTATATTTTTCAAGAAGTACTTTGCTTGGATTTGTTCATTTTCTGTACAAAATGTATATAATTATATTTTGAAATATAAATTAAAATTAGAAGTGTCAATCGAATGCAATGTATTTTATAGACAAGCATTGTTTCAGGAGACGCGCAGCAGTCGAGCGAGAAAAGCGAGACGGCGATGGACGACAGCGCGCTACGGCGGTTCTTCGACCGCGTGCTGCAACATATTGACAACGCCACGCTCTCCACATCCGTCCGCCTGCGCATGTTACACAACGCCGAAGAACAGCTCGACAAGTCTGTACCACTAGTAGTTAGAAGTCAATCGTGTACACATGTTAAATAGATAGGATTCTAAATACAAAAATTCTGAATTTGGTATTATTGTTGACTTGACAAAAAGTGGGGTTAATTCGTTATTAACACTTTTGTACGTTGGTACGCAGACTGTCAGAGATGGAGCCGGCAGTGTGCGGTGCGGCCCAGTTTACGGCACTGTTCGCGCGGTGCGTACGCGCTCTGCACGAGGCCACGCACTCTCCCGCCGGCCCACCACACCATGCGCTCACTCATCTCACCACCGACTGCCTCAGGTAAAGATTTGACATTAAACATGGCTGCAATATCTCACTTGTGTCGAAAAATCCTGGACTTGTGAGAGGACTTAAATCACAGTTTGATGATTATATTAATTTAGGTTGCAGCATCAGTTCAGCGGCGTAACCGAGCAGGAGAGTGCGTACGTGTGGCAGCTGGCTCTGCGTGTATCTGCGGCGCGGCTGTGCGCGGCAGCATACGGAGCGGGCGCGGCGACGGGCGTACCACAGATGCCGGCTACGCCTGGCGGCGCCGCTAACGCCGGCGTGTCGGCGGTTGCCCTCTCTGCCGCCGCTGCGCTCACGCACCATGCCGAATTGCTCGATCGTCTTCTTGCGTCTGCAGGTAGGCTTTTCGAGACATACAATGTTGAAAAGATTTGTTGTGGGCGTATTTAGTCGAACAATGTTGTTTTAGTAGAACAATGATCTATACATACACGCTTTATGTTACAGGCGTGGAACCAGACCCATTTACGATTGCGGTATTCCAGCAGCTGTCGATGAATGCGGATAGCAAGCCGACTGCGTTAGCCCGAGCCATTATGCCATTGCTACAATCTGCGCCTCTGCCAACTATACCGAAGCCCAATCTCAAAGTAAATATTGAGTTTGAAGCTGTGTAAAGCTATAAAATATGACAAATAATGCACACACTCACACTCATAGCCCCGCACTAGGGCTACGCATCTTGTATCGCCATATACCATGGACATACACATAATCAACCATAAACTACACCCAATACAAATATTTCCCTCGTAAATGAATCTGCGTTGCAAACCAGTATGGCAACCATTCGATTACAGATTGAATCAATTTAAACAAGTGTCTAGAAGAAATCTTAGTTAATGCTACGTATTCAATTATGTGCAGATTCGCATGTGCACGGCAAGCATTGTTGAGCCGGCGAGCGACAACGACACAGTGGTACGGTTCAGCGCGGGCCTGGTGGCGGGTGTAGCACTTGAGGCTGAGATATTACGCGTGCGGGAACCATCCGCTTTACGCGTGCGCGTCGCCTATCCTGACCGCCGCGTGCACGCACTGCTGCCGCCGCGTGACCATCTACGGCCGCTCGATCACCATTACACGAGTAAATACCTATTCAAACATTTTCACACATTCAATTATTACTATTAGTCGATAATTATATTCTGATCAGTGCTATGTGAACATGGTTTTAACATATTTTTCCATGACTCATTAATTTTCAGATGATGATGGTACTCAAAATGTGCGACTTCTGACGAAAGTGCTGATCTCACACGGCGTATGGACGGAGCCGTGTGGTGTGGATATCTCGGTGTGCTTGGCAGTCGAGGAGAGCGGAAGCCGCGAGCCAGCGCCACTTATCGAACTTTGCCGCCCAGTTCGTGTCACTGTTGCACCCAAACCAATCAAGAGAGGCATTTGAAGTGGCATTTACAACTTCATTCAACATAGATTGTCATTGCAGTCAGTGCCTCCTGGAAGGACAGATGATGGTGCTATTCCCAGCACATCAAATGAATGAAGGATATCAACCAGTACTGTGTATGCATATACAAAAGATAATCATTGTGTTATATTAATGAACATTGCCGGCAATTGTAATAGTGAGGTGAAATTACATACATAAATAATGATGTGTAATAATATTATTTATGTATAAGATAGTCTGTACAGTTTTATAAAGTAAATAAATAAATCTATTGACACAATATAAATCTATTTATTCCATAACTCCAATATTCACAGATTTCATGGCAAATTATAAAGATATCACAAAATGTTAACTTAAAAATAAAAAATATTTAGTGTTTATATTATATGTAAAGTATTTGTGTGTTTGTGATGCCAATAAACATATTCTTATTCTTACTTGTAATAGAAAGCACCTTATCTACAATTCCTTTTGTGTTCACTTAAAGTTTAAATTGGCTTAGCAAGAGTTGTGAGACTTTTATCTAAATTATTCAGCTCATTGACCCATCACGTATCTGAGAGATACGGTGTCCCTACAAATTTTGGTTCAGTAGCATTCTAGATCCACATAGTGTCTCTAACACCCAGCTGTTTTCATCCACCATTTTGAAAAATTTTTAAGGACACTGCATGAGTCTAGGATGTGTAATGGGTTAAATATGTAAAATGTATATAGGTAATTTTTTAGTAGAATACAATGGTCTTTTTCTTGATGCTTGTTATTCAATAAATTCATTATAAAAGATTTACCAGTTTTGAAAAAAATTATTCCTTATCAATAGCCAACAGTTCAGCTCGCGCCACGCAATGGTGCACCAGCTGTTTGACTCCGGGCATCCAAGTTCCAACGACACTGACATGATCCACCATCAAGGCTCTATGGATATCATCTGCTATGCTTGGCTGGTTGTCTTTTAGAGCTGAAATTAATAAACAAATTAATGAAAAAATGATGGAATTTTTATTCCCTACCAAGTAATTAGATTATATCAACTATTACATAGTTTTAATTGTAATAGTCTATTACAATTAAATATGTAACTGGCCCACTATAATTTGTTACACAACATTACTCACAAAAGTTACAAAACATCAATTTTTGCAAGAACATACCTTCAGCTAGTTGCTTCATTTGTATATGTACTCTCTTGTTCAATTTCTTATTTGACCACATCTCCTCCATTACATTTACTCTTTTCCTAATGTCATTCGCCTTCGGGCCTAATTCAGGAGTGTCTTCTAAAAACTTTAGCAGTATGCTCTTTACTTCAGTGAGTGTCCTTTCATCATCTAAGTCTATATCTTCACATGAATTGTGTTTAGGGGCACTAGGCGGAGGTATCGGAGGCACTGAAGGCATTTTCGGCAGATTGATGTTAGGCAAACATCCCGGATTTGGGTTGTTGCCTGACAATGGAAAAGCCACCCTTTTGTTTAGAAAATTGCGCGGCCTGTTTGGTGTAGACTGTTGCGTGTTGTAAGAGAATGTCGGGGGATCGTTCCAACCTGGATCGAACGGCACTGAAACACAGATTTGGTCATTAGATTGTGTAACGTTAAAAACTGTGTTAAAATTTTACCCAAACTGGAGTGGACTCCATAATAATGGAGATTATACCTTTAGGAACATTGTCGTAGTTGTCCATATTTATTTTGTACCGATCGTGAATACTGAAACTAATAATTTTACAATTACTTTGCTTTTTAGTAGAAGAGACTATTCGTAGTTCGCGAATTAATTTCACGTTTTCCTACATGCATTCGCAGATTTACAGCTGTCAAAATTGACAACACAAACTTCCAGAACTCTACTCAATGCTCAAGTCACGACTTGAGTATGATGTCAAGCACTGGAAATACGACCCTAATGGCAAGGACTTCAGTATGATTTTCAGTGCTTTAAATCATACTCAAGTCCTGACTTGAGCATTGAGTAGAGTCACTTAAGTAGAGTTCTGGAACAGCCCCACTCAACCGAGGACATTCGGTTTGTTTCGTTAGCCGCTCGTTAGCCGACTTATCCCTTCCTCTTGCACTCATGGAACTGTACATTTCACCAACTTTTTTTTCTCTTTCTATTAGGAAATGCTGTTGTGTCAATGTGTGTGTGTGTTACACACTTTTTATTCATATGTCAGTCTAACGTCACTCGGAAGGAAAGTGGAAGAAAACATGGCGCCTATGGTCTAATTTTGTCGTCATTTTGTTTTGTGTTGTGATTTACTGTGCTCATCGTGACGGATTTGTATAACTACGATATGGCTAAATCTTATTTTATTTAATCATCAAACTACATAATTCACAATAACTATTTGTTTTATCCTGGTCTATTTGCGGTTTAAATAGCTATACCCGTGCGCGTGTTATTTTCCATTCCATATACATTTTTGCTCGTTATTTTATTCTAAAATGTCTCAGAGATGCGCTATTCCGGGGTGTAGTAGTCGACGAAAGGATTTTAAACTTTTTCTTGCTCCTTACACCGATAAAACACGATGGGAGGCATGGAAGAAAGCATGCCCATTTTTGGAAAACTATGACCGTGAACCAATGAAACTTCAAAATTGTCGATTCTGCCCTAAACATTTTTATCCTGAACATATAAATGAACAAAATAAACTGACAAAAGATGCGATACCTATATTGCATTTAACTCCCACTGACGATCTGTCTTATGATATTAGTAATCCGAGTGTGTCTTTACCATCTAGTTTTTTAATTGATTCTCAGGCAGGTAATGTGCAATCACATGGTGTCGACCCCGGGCCCTCTGGTATACAACCTTTTTTAATTGATTCTCAGGCAGATAATGTGCAATCACATGGTGTCGACCCCGGGCCCTCTAGTATACAACCTTCATTGTTTTCTCATGAATGTGTTACACAAGATTCTCACACTGTCCTGACTACCCCAGTTCGTACACATTCTAAAGTGGTCCGTAGTCGTAGACATGATATAGTTAGGAGAGTGCGCTTATTGCCATCGGAAGTAACACCCCGGAAAGAAATTTTGCGTGATAACAATAAAATGTTAAAATCTAAGATACGCTTGTGGAAAAGTAAGTACTATAACATAAAGCGCAAATCCAATCTAATTAGTTGTCCTAAAACATTACAATTCATCAAAAAATATAAATCTTTGAACAAGTTTGGAAAGCTTTTAATAGATTCACAGCTCCGTTTAACAGGTGTGAAACCTCACGGCCGCAGATACACCAGTGATGAAAAAATATTTTCACTTTCTTTATCAAAGTTAAGTCCAAAATGTTATGCTCATTTGAGAAAATTTTTTATTCTACCATCCAAGTCCACGCTAAATTCATTGTTGACTAATGTCCCGTTGCGACCTGGAGTCAATGATTTTATTTTTCAACATTTGGCTGATGCTGCCTTAGGCAAGTCAGAGAAAGATAAACAATGTGTTTTACTTTTTGATGAAATGGCCATTAATAAAAATTTACATTTTAATTTTCACACTGGGGTAATTGAGGGATTTGAAGATCTTGGCTCTGGACAAAGGAGATCCAATGTAGCAGACAAGGCATTAGTATTTATGTTACGTGGCCTGTTTAGTAGATGGAAATTTCCAGTTGCCTTTTATTTTGCTAGAGATGGAGTTAAAACATTTACCTTAAAGAACATTGTTAAAGAAATAATTATTGCTGTTTTCAAAACTGGTTTTTGTGTACGAGCCACTGTGAGTGATCAAGGCTCGGCCAATGTTGCAACCATAAAATCATTGACAGCAGATACTCATGCTGAATTATTACAAAACAATAGCACTGATCCAAATAACATATTCTATAAGATTAATAACAATGTGATCTACCATATTTTTGATGTGCCACATTTATTAAAATGTTTTCGTAACAATTTCCAGAAAAAGGATCTCCTACTTGATGGACAACGAGCACGAGCCCAATGGAACTTCTTGGAGCAGCTGTACAGAGTGGACGGCAGGGCAGGGAAAGCCCGCTCCATTAAACTGACTGACAAGCATCTTAATCCTCAATCATATGACAAGATGAAGGTAAATTATTAAGATTTTAGTAGATAATTTGCTTTTTTTTCAAAACTAAGGGTCTTTTAGTACAAAGTCATATCTTACTTACTTTTTAAATTGTTTGGATTCCTATAATAAATGGCGTGGACGGGTGCAGTTTGTAATATATAACAAATGACATATTTTTAGTTAATATAATGTTCAACAGATATAATTAATTTATGGTATACAGACATTTGACATATTCTTGCATGATATAAAGATCATGGGGTATAAGATACAATTGATATAACAAATTTCAATCTAATATACCTATGTCATAATGTTCATTTTATATAAACACTTCAGATATAACATTTACTGAGTATAATGTGTTATTAATATAATTCCTGTGGTGTTCAGGTGCAATGGAAAATGAACCTAATTTGTTTGCATTTCCTAGTTGGTTCGACCTCCTCCTGTGCGTTTAGGTTAGGTTAGTATATGATAAAGCTGCCAGAACCGAATTTGTTTGCATTTGCTAGTTGGTACGACCTTCTCCTGTGGGCTTAGGTTACGTTAGTATATGATAAAGCTGCGCGAGCTGAAAGAACGCAGCGAGCGTGCCGCGGCAGTGGCAGACAAGTGCCAGAACAGAATTTGTTTGCATTTGCTAGTTAGTTCGACCTCCTCCTGTGAGTTTAGGTTAGGTTAGCAATAGTATATGCAACTAAATATTCTATTTAAAGTTTTAATAAATATATTTTTTAACACAAAAAGCACTTAAAGCAATACAAACACAATTGTATTTTGCGATTGTATATTTATTTAAAGAAAAATTCTTATCAATATAATATAGGGTGCTTCAACTATTCCTAAAACGAAATATTGTGTTATATTATTTAATACATTATACTGGTACTTCTTATACCATTTGTTTTTTATATCACTTAATCATTATATGTAATGTTTGTTATACTGAAGGTTCATTATACACATTGAAATTATGCCTTTTTTTGTTATATCTTTTGTTGTATATATACAGTGAGTGCTTATATCCTTAGAAATTATATCAAAGGTTGTTATACAAAGCGAAAATAGATTATTTGTTGTTATAGCTTCCATTACACACTCGGCGTGGACTACATTGTGCTAGTAATGATATCGAAATCCATCCTTCTATCGCAGGTTTAGAATCCACACGTCCTACTGCTACAGAATTAAGGGAGTTAATTTACCTAAAGTTTGAGTTAGGAGGTGTGTTAGAAAGTAAGATGGCGGGCACGATTATTCACATAATGGCAAGTTGGGTCTCATTTTCGAGGTATTTGGGGCTGCTCATTACGAATATGGCACTCATTACTAAATACAAGATGGCGGGCACGACTTTTCAAATAATGGCAAGTTGGGTATCGTTTTCGAGGATTTGGAGGTGCTCATTGTGAATATAGCATTTATTTCTTAATCCAAGATGGCGGACACGACTTTTCAAGTAAATGCAATATGGGTATCATTTTCGAGGTATTTCGGGGTGCTCATTACGAATATGGCACTCATTTCTAAATCCAAGATGGCGGGCACGAGTTTTCAAATAATGGCAAGTTGGGTATCGTTTTCAAGGTATTTTGGGGTGCTCATTACAAATATGGCACTCATTTCTAAATCCAAGATGGCGGACACGATTTTGAGTGAGTGGGTGGGTGAGGGGGTGGGTGAGCCCACTATCTAACCCAGCGCTAACCCACCCCCTAATCCATATTCGTAATGACACTTTTATTCGGTAGTTTCGGTTTTAATTGTTGGTTTCAATTGTTTCTTCGAACAACTAAAAAAAATTATTGCAATTAAAATCAATTCTATTGAAATCAACTGCAATTAAAATCAATTGCAATCAAATCAATTGCAATCAAATCAATTGCGACACGTCGCAATTGCAATTGATTTCAATTGAATTGATTTTTTAATCTGATTGAATTTCAGATTGAAATATAATTGATTAACGCCCAACACTGCCTGGGAAGATATGTGTCTGAAATAAAACCGACATTGTTGAGCAGTCCTAGCATTTCCAGTTATATTAAATAACAAAATGGTAAAAACAAGATGTCAAACAATAGAAAACGCTATTTGATAACGGCAATAGTTTCTATTGTTTATCTTATCTTGTTTTCGTACTGTGTGAAAGAGGTAGCAGTTACTGCTTTTTATGCTGTATGAAAGAGAAAGAAGTTACTTCTTTGTAGAACCGCTGTAGAGAGAGCGTACGACGGAGACGAATGAGACAACTCGATGCTTGATTAACACTGCATATAATAAGTAATAACATAGATGGTGCTTAACAAGAACAATTCTTATACTACACTTTCCCTGTTACAAAAATAAAATAAAATTTATATAATTTCTAATTTATTTCTATCGTTATACAAAACAAATACTTATACATATATTTTCTTATAGCATAGTTACAAAGGGTAATATAGTTAGTTACATTTTATTTTGTTTAGTAGTCAAAAAGCAATATATTATTTTTATTAATTTTATAATAATAATTATTATTTTGCATACAATAAGGTACTTAAATTAATTATGTGGGTACCTACTTTACTTATGTATTTTACATAATATAAGGTTTTGTGCGATTTTTGTGGACTATTTCTTCCTTATTATTTATCATTACATCCTAAATCTTCATTAATTAAAAATGGACCCGAATATGTACTATCTATTTTGTTGCCTGTTTCATTTTTAAGTAGCAGATAATTACCTTTAGTGTACGTCTCTGGATTAACATATACGTCATAGGCCTTCTTCCGTTTTAACTTATTTCCTAATAAGTTTTTCCTTGCATCTTGCTGTGCAACCTGTAATCTATATTTT